GTAGGGAAATTTTATACTGCAGGTAGACTAGAGACTACAGGAGGATTTGTAGGGAAATTTTATACTGCAGGTAGACTAGAGACTACAGGAAGATTTGTAGGGAAATTTTATACTGCAGGTAGACTAGAGACTACAGGGAGATTTGTAAGGAAATTTTATACTGCAGGTAGACTAGAGACTACAGGAAGATTTGTAGGGAAATTTTATACTGCAGGTAGGATTAGAGACGACAGGAAGATTTGTAAGGAAATTTTATACTGCAGGTAGACTAGAGACTACAGGAAGATTTGTAGGGAAATTTTATACTGCAGGTAGGACTAGAGACTACAGGAAGATTTGTAGGCGGGATTTTATACTGCAGGTAGGACTAGAGACTACAGGAAGATTTGTAGGGAAATTTTATACTGCAGGTAGGATTAGAGACTACAGGAAGATTTGTAAGGAAATTTTATACTGCAGGTAGGATTAGAGACTACAGGAAGATTTGTAAGGAAATTTTATACTGCAGGTAGACTAGAGACTACAGGAAGATTTGTAGGGAAATTTTATACTGCAGGTAGACTAGAGACTACAGGAAGATTTGTAGGGAAATTTTATACTGCAGGTAGGACTAGAGACTACAGGAAGATTTGTAGGCGGGATTTTATACTGCAGGTAGGATTAGAGACGACAGGAAGATTTGTAAGGAAATTTTATACTGCAGGTAGGACTAGAGACTACAGGAAGATTTGTAAGGAAATTTTATACTGCAGGTAGGATTAGAGACTACAGGAAGATTTGTAAGGAAATTTTATACTGCAGGTAGACTAGAGACTACAGGAAGATTTGTAGGGAAATTTTATACTGCAGGTAGACTAGAGACTACAGGAAGATTTGTAGGGAAATTTTATACTGCAGGTAGGACTAGAGACTACAGGAAGATTTGTAGGCGGGATTTTATACTGCAGGTAGGATTAGAGACTACAGGAAGATTTGTAGGCGGGATTTTATACTGCAGGTAGGATTAGAGACGACAGGAAGATTTGTAAGGAAATTTTATACCAGAGGCCACCCTCGGGAGCAATTTTTTTTTAATTTGCACCCCCCCCCCCCCCACAAACTATTAATAATTTGTTTTTCCAACCCATTTTGGGGCCCCCTAATGTCGGCACCCGGGAACATATTACCCCCCGCCCCCCCCCCCCTCGCTACGCCTCTGTTTTATACTGCAGGTAAACTAGAGACTCACAGTTAAGATTGTTATATGAATTCAAAACTAAGTTTCTTCCGCACATATACATTTGAATGTTCGCTATCCGTAAAAAATATTCAATCTGGCAATAATTTTAGTATATATTTTGTACTTTCTCATTGTAATTAAGCAGTTCTTGACTAAATAATTGAATATGCTCTGTACTAAACATTCCAAAGGACATTAGATTATAAATAATATAATTTTTATTTCAGTATTGTATGTCAATTGTGCACTCGTAAAATATTTTAAACTTTATTATTAATACTAGCCGTTGTGTAGCAGTGGCGTAGCCAGGATCGTCTCAAGGGGGGGGGGGGGTCCAATTTTTACCCGGGGACAAACTTTCGATTTGCACCCCCCCTCAAACTTTCGATTTGCACCCCCCCCCCCCTCAAACTTTCGATTTGCACCCCCCCCCCTCAAACTTTCGATTTGCAGCCCCCCTCAAACTTTCGATTTGCACCCTCCCCCTCATACTTTTTCTATATACCGAGGGGTCTATGGGGGGGGGGGGGGTTATGACCACCCCTAACCCCCCCCCTGCCTACGCCACTGTTGTGTAGTTTGTATTTCTTTTATTTCTTTATTTATTCTTTATTTGGGCTTACTACATGTGCTACGCTTTCGATATTAAATCTAAATTAAATGAAAAGTTATCGAACCTGACCACCTTCTATGAAGAGGTTAGAAATTTAGAATTGTTTTGTTTCAAATGGATTGCTTGGCCAGTATGTTCTCTTTTTTTAAAATTTTTTTTTCGCCAGATTGTGATTTCCCTATTAATCAACAGAGCAACATTTTTTTACGGATAACTATGAATATTACAATCTATATTACACCTACACATTACAGTTATCCACAACTAGCAGTTTATTACAGTCTATACCACACCTACTAAATACAATACAAAATCACAATAGCAATATACTTGTTAGATCTTCCCATCTACAGGATAATGAACACATGTAGGTATATTTATATCGTTATTATATTCTGTCAACTAGCGGAGCGGTATGGCCGAATGGTAGAGGGAGAGAACATGAGCCCTTTGATTCGAGTTCGGATCACTTGTTTGAGTCTTTAGAATGTACCGTTAGCCGCCAAGTTATGTGTTCTAAGACTTACGAAGCCAGCCCGTGAGAATCACACAAAGACCTTGTTAAAACTGTATCAAACAAACAATAATAATTTAATGTTGAGTGTCTATCACTGTTGAGCGAACAATCGATTTTTTGAACAGTGCATTTTAAATTTAAATCACCACAAAATAGAAGTGCCGTACTTGTTTCGTTCGTTTTTTTTCTTTATTTAAGCTTACTTTGAAACCCCGGTAATTAAAATATTTTACCAATATAAAACAAGACATTCAACATCTTTGTTATAGCTAGAAATTCATGTTTTGGATCCGAACATTATTTGATTGCAACACAATCAATCAATCAATCAATTAACCAATAAATCATTTAATCAATTAGTCATCCCTTAAACCTTATTGGTTGTTAAGACACTACACTTGAGTCTTTTATTATTGTCTTATATCCTTATCTGCCCCCTGCTGATCTGAAAAGGGCAGCCCAGGAGAGACAACACCAAAATCAAACAACTGCTGCCTTGTAGTTTGTTCTTGGTTGGACAAAGGCTATGGAAGAAAAGCCAAAAAGAAAAGCAGGCTGAAATCAGAGTCAATGGCCTCAATGGCTTACATTCAGTTGATACGTATACTTAATTGTGTTGGAGGGGATCCCTTGCAGCTCTAAAATTAAGAACGAAGAAGAAGAAGAATAGGCGGTTGGCTATCGTCATGTGCTCATACTATCTCAGTATCCTTGTTTTGCGTAGTAGTTTAGTAGATTATCAAAGGGACCAATCGCATTAGTGTTCCTTTCACACTCTTCTTCATTGTAACACTAGTTATGGAACTAAATTGCTACGATTTGTGTTTACAATGCATATCAGGCGTTTATTATTCGAATTAAAACTATTGGTTAGCATAATCAGATGTGGTATTTGAAAAATGTTGAAGTAACTATTACCATCAGATATGAAACACTTAGATCAGCTAACACCACCAGCTATGAAGACTAGAGCAGCTAGCACCATCAGCTATAAAGACTTTAGAGCAGCTAATACCACCAGCTATGAAGACTTTAGAGCAGCTAATACCACCAGCTATGAAGACTTTAGAGCAGCTAATACCACCAGCTATGACATTTAAAGAAGGTTCCAGCATCTAAAAAAATTCGAACATCAGGAACACACAGCTGCCTGTTTTGAAATTCCACATAAAAAACATCCCCAGTAAAAACATCAAGGAACTCCGTGATGAATCTGTCTAACATCATCAATCACTATCTGGATGGATGCGTCCACTGCCATTCATGATCACAGCTTATGGCAAAAATTAAAATTGGAGATGTAGTAGTAGTTCAACATGAGAATTTTAGAATCCAAGTAAACACTTTATTGAGCCACAGAGCTGAGGAAATATGCAATGTACATGTATCTCCTTGATCTAGATCCAGTGGTTCTTAGCTTGGGTTCGATCAAACCCTAGGGGTTCGGTGATTCAGGCTCAGGGGTTTAGCGGAGGTCAAAACACACTCCCGACCCGTTTGATTCACGATCGGATTTGTCAGTGGGGACGATAGAACTATTATGTGCATATGAAACTTGTGCGGGTATGTTTAAAAATGTTGAGAACCATAGATCTGGAATTTTTATCTATTACATTGAACACGATATTCAAGATATCTTTAAAACTTTTTTAAAAAAGAAAATGTATCAACTCCTTACAGTTATTTAAACTGCTTCAAAAAATATTTGTTCTATCTCAACAATAGAATTTTCCAGCATAACTATTTTAACTTGAGCTGTAAAACCATCCAAGAAACGACGCAATAAAAACTTTGTTTAAAATTTTTCAGCTTTAAAAGTACAAACTAAAAAAAATCAATGCCCTCATAAAAGGACATTAAAAAAAAGAAAACCCGCCCTTTAATTTTCAAGACGTCTTTTATCTAATTATCTTTTAACAATTCAAAACAAAGCGATGAGACACGTAGACAAATCATGATACAAATGAAATCAATTGAAATATCAGGTAAAAAGTAGAAAAGATTTTATAAAAATCAAAAGAGAATGTGTCTGGACTCTTGCTCAAATGGCGTGGTAAAATCTTGACACGCTTCGATGCGCTTTATGTCAGCTCTAATTTCTTCCTCTGTGACGTCATGTTATTACGCGCGACATCTTTGGCTTTCAACAGCTAACGCGCAATTAACCTATTGATTAGATAATCACCTCCGTTGAAAGTGTTTTCAGCAAATATTATCGATCTGACTAATCAATACATTGTGTACGTGATTAGGATTATCGATGTTGCCTTTGTTAAACTTGGCGACCTAGCTAATAATACATTAGTACGTTTGCATGCATTCATCTTTTGTACACTTAATTATAAAGCAAAGTAAAAACGAAATATTTCAGAAGTTTTTTTTTTTGCACTGAGCTATCTGGTTGTCGATTGAAAACTTCACGGTTGGCTGCGTTTCAAAAAGATAGTTTATTTCTGTTCAATGAAGTACTAACGCGACTTTGTGTTGTGAAATGTTGCAGCATTTACGTGGCTATATATACAACAACCACACCAGCAGCTAAATATTTGGTTAGGAAAAATTTGCAAAACTCGCGTCAATTGTGTTCGTAGAATAAATGCGTAGACGAGGCTTAAGCTGGAAACAGGGAAGTTGATATATAATTCTTAAGCATGACGTCCAATACGACTAGCACCAACTCTACAACGGAGCCGTACTTCATCGTGTTTGTAAGTGACCGCGTGTACACCCTCATCCAGTACATCATCTTCTACTGCATCTGGCCCGTCGTCATCCTCGCCGGCATTCTATCCAACACGCTCAACATCGTCGTCTTCGTCAAAATCGGTGTCAAGGACAGCATGATGGCATCGTTTCTAGCACTGTCCACTACTGACCTCGCCTACCTGTTGTGCGCATCACTTCCTGCCTCTGCAACAATTATTGGACTTTCTGGCACCATGAGCTCCATGCCGATAAACGCGTTTTTTCTAGCAGGAGTCGCCGTGCAGTACCAAGCTCTATTTTTAGACATTTCTCTAGGAATCATCGCCTACGTCTCCGTAGCTAAATGCTGCTGTGTTGTCATAGCCCTCAAGTTTAAATCCGTGTTCACATTAAAGCGGACGTTCGTCGTGTTAGTTCTCATAATTTTGGCAGCACTGGCTACCAGACTTCCGGTTTTCACCTCCATGGGTCTCAGCTGGGTCTGGAATTCCCAAACCAACAAGTCCCAGTTGGTCGGTTGGTTTACCAAAGACTTCAAACCGTCGATTGATTTCGTCAACGCTTTAAACAAAACCGCCTACCCCAACGTTATTTTCGTCATCGTTCTCATCTGTTCCATCATCCTTTCATCGTCTTTAGTTGAAGCTTCGGCAGTTAGGATGAAAATGACGTCGGGAGGTAATAAAATAAACGCATTTTCAACAAAACAACAATCTGGTCATGACGGTGGATTTGAAAACCACGAAGAAAAGTTTTCAACAACTTTGAGCAAACGTGACATCCACGTGATCCGACAAGTTGTCACGGTGGCGATCACGCTGATGATCACGGTGCTGATTCTGTCAGTTATCAGCCTTGCTGACGTGTTCGTCCCTGACTTCTACTCCACCGGCAGGTACAGGCAGCTCTTCAACATCATCGAGACCATCGGCTACACCTGCACGCACCTGCACGCAGGTGTTCACCTGGCTATCTACCTGAGGTTTAACTCACAGTTTAGGACCACCTGCAGGCAAATGTTTGGTATCGAAACCTAGGTCGAAACCTGTCTCTGAACACTAATTTTCATTAAATCAAGCTAGAAATTAGTTTAAACCACGAGAATAAATTTTTCTTTTCGTTTTACTTTTAATTTAATTTAATTTAATTTTTTTTCATTTTACTTTTTATTTTATTTTATTTTAATTTTTTTTCCATTGTACTTTTTATTTTGATTTTAATTTATTTTTTCATTTTACTTTTATTTTATTTTATTTTTTTGCCGTTTTACTTTTTTTTCGTTTTACAACATAGTTAACATATTATTATAACTATAATTTAATGAGTGAAAATTAGTATTCACAATTTAAATAGGCTTGATAAGCTGGTTCCTAATGGTTTTTGTCAGAAAACATATTTTTCTACCGAAATCGAATATTTTATAACATTTGTGAAATAAGTACACAATGGTTTCCGGTTTTATTAAGGCTTGAAATATTCAAACAACTAATTAGCCTGCTAGTGTATAATAATAACTTAGAAAACACTTAAATTATTAAATATAAATAAACTACTAGGCCATTCCCCATTGACCGCTAATGTTTATTTTATCATGGAGAACAATTGTTGTGACTTTTATTGTTTTACTTTTCCTGACCTCTCTGGTTGACTTCAACGTGAGATTGAGGGCGTTTTTAGAAATAAATTTAAAAAATTGAGTTGATAAAATAATTCTAAACAGCTTTTCAACAGTTTATATTCAATTCGAAAATATAAAAATAAGGGTAATCCATAGTTCCCAAACAGCTTTAATTTTAAAAATGTAACTATAATTTTATCGCTCGCTATATATTTTTAAAGATTAAAAATATAGTATAGTTACATAGACGTTTCAAGCTTAAAGTTATCCTACTGATACATGCATCAAATGCTAAAACTTATCAGTCAAAATGCATGTTAAACATGCTTTTAAAGCTTCTCCATTTTGGAATCCTTAGATTCTACGTTTTGATGCGTCATTCAGCCGATAACATCTTTAATTTTTATAATTACATGTATGTGAGATACGTAGTGTGATGAAAGCTTTTTTCGAAAGTTATATGTCAGTAATGTTCAATCATGAGCATACGATACATATTTTATTTACACACCAATCTAACTATTTTAACTACAGCCGAACTGGAGACCACAGTCCGGTTTGTCCACGAAGTTGGACTTGTTGTCTGAATCCTTCTCCATATTAACAATTAAGAACGAAGAAGAAGAAGAACTACAGCTCGCCTTCTCCCTACACGCTCCCGTGATCAACTCTAACACTATCTACAATTTAACTTTCTACATCTTTCCTCTTGCGCTACCTATCTCTAACTGCTGACCCACGCTTCAGTGGTCATCTGACCGTCTCACGTGACCGGTCATCTGCAATTCTATTGGTCAACCTGACTACACTATGCTTTGTTTCTGCTATCTTCTGCTTGGCCTCTGTGACGTTTAATTTGCGTCATCACACGTAGCTTACAATAATTTCTCTCTGCGTCTCCCAATTTAAAATTAGTTTAACTTAGCAAAAATCGTTAGTCTGTGGAACAAATATTACAGGGCGTCGGTGTTTTTTTTCCTTTCTCTTTGTTTAATTTAGTTGTTTAAAAAATTTCGTTAAAATTGTATAAATCTAGATTTCATCACAGCTATGATATGATTTTTACATGTCTAATAGTACAACGTTTCAGACAGCTAGCGTTTCTTTTTTGTTTAAAAATTTTAAAAATCTATTTTGGTTTAAAAGTAAACTAATTATTTGTATAACATTTGTAATAAAATTATTTTTGCAATAATATAAAGTACATTGCACTTCACTGTTTATCAGTACAGAAATTTCTCAGTACAGTGAAGGTATTTTGAAATATATTTATGGATTGTTTCCCTTAGCTACTTTTTTTTATCTAAGGGAAGTAGCTAAGCAACCTTTTTTTTCTAAGGGAAGTAACAAAGCAATAAGAATATTCCATTTGTAACATTTATTTTTTTGTCTAAGGGAAGTAACTAAGCAGTTGAATATTCCATTTTAAACAATTCTTGTTTTCAATAATGCAATGTGTCTATACATTAAATATTGAGGTAATTCATTTTGAATTAAAAATATTATCATTTCCCCGCTGGAAACAGCTTCCACACAAAGTATTTATTAAATGCTGCTTAATGCGTCCCTAGATGTTAAAAAATTATTCAGAGCATTCAAACTATTTTTAGCATGCAATCGTTAGGCTAGCTACATGCTTAACTAGTTATCACGTATTTCATTATAATCGTCAGTTCGGTGGAGCTTTGTGGAGCTTAGTGGAGCTTAGAGGAGTTTAGGGATGCAACCACACTTCTCCATCGTACTCGATTTTTGGCGATTCCTACAAGTTTTTCCCACAACATTCCGTTTGTTCTGCTTCACTGACGACTGATCTTTTCCAAGTTTGTTTTTGGCCAACCTACTTTAGCTCTTTCCGTGTGGTTTCTAATCTAGTGCCAGTGTGGCAATGTTGTTCGTTGGTTTACTCAAGGTGTGTCCAATTCATCCTCGTTAACGCTTTTACGTTTCTTTGCCAAGAACGTCTATTCCAGTTTCTTTTCTCAGTTCGGCATTGGTAACTTTTGTCCGTTCAGATAATTTTAAGTCGTAGGTTAACCTTCAATAATTTGTAAACAGGTTGTGTTAATTGTGTTTAAATGTAAAAAAAAAAACCCTGTTTATTTGCATATTCTAACGGACTTACCCATAACCAAAAACATATTTTACGGATGCAGAAGGGATCATTGATCATAAATGCTTGAAATATTCTAGTGTAAGAAAACATTTTAGTTAGGAACGTTATTGTTGTATTTTTCTGTTCAAAGTGCTAGCGGATGGCTAATCATTTTTTAACTTTTTTCTTTGTATCCTAAACGTAAACTAAATCTGTTGTTAAGCTGTAATAAATTGTAGGAAATTCTAGTGTGTCATTTTTTTAAAGTAATTTAGTTGCTTATTTAACGGATGTCGTGTATTTATAGCGATTGATTGCTTAGCTTATCACGTGTATCGTGTATTTATCATGATTGATCGAATGCTTGATTTATCGTGTATATGTTGCATGGAGAGCCAAATAATTGTACACATTTATAGATATGTGAAATCAAATCACGTAACCTCATACTGTTGTTGATCCATACATTTTTTATGCATACGGTATATGCTGTTGTCTAGTGTACTGGCACATCTAGAGAAAATAAATCTGGCGGAAATTGCCGGTCTATAAATTTATAGTTTTATATATATATATATATATATATATATATATATATATATATATATATATATATATATATATATATATATATATATATATATATATATATATATATATATATATATATATATATATATATATTCTAACACCATCTACATCCAACTCTCTACATATTTCCTCTAGCGCTACCACCTATCTCTAACTGCTGACCCACGCTTCAGTGGTCATTTGACGTCACACGTGATTGTCATCTGCAATTCTATTGGTCAACCTGACTACGCTATGCTTTGTTTCTGCTATCTTCTGCTTGGCCTCTGTGACGTTTAATTTGCGTCATCACACGTAGCTTACAATCATATCTCTCTGCGACTCGCAATTTAAAATTAGTTTAACTTAGCAAAAATCGTTAGTCTGTGGAACAAATATTACAGGGCGTCGGTGTTTCTTTTTTTTTTCCTTTCTCTATGTTTAATTTAGTTATTTAAAAAATTTCGTTTGAATTGCCTAGCCCTAAATCTAGATTGTACTATAGCCATATTATGATTTTTACAACTCTAATAATACAACGTTTCAGACAGCTAGCGTTTTTCTTTTTGTTTAAAAATTTTAAAAATCTATTTTGGTTTAAAAGTAGACAAACTTTTTGTGTAACATTTGTAACAAAGTTATTTTTGCAATAATATAAAGTACATTGCACTTCACTGGTTATCAGTACAGAAATTTCTCAGTACAGTGAAGGTATTTTGAAATATATTTATGGATTGTTTCCCATAGCTACTTTTTTTTAATCTAAGGGAAGTAGCTAAGCAACCTTTTTTTTCTAAGGGAAGTAACAAAGCAATAAGAATATTCCATTTGTAACATTTATTTTTTTGTCTAAGGGAAGTAACTAAGCAGTTGAATATTCCATTTTAAACAATTCTTGTTTTCAATAATGCAATGTGTCTATACATTAAATATTGAGGTAATTCATTTTGAATTAAAAATATTATCATTTCCCCGCTGGAAACAGCTTCCACACAAAGTATTTATTAAATGCTGCTTAATGCGTCCCTAGATGTTAAAAAATTATTCAGAGCATTCAAACTATTTTTAGCATGCAATCGTTAGGCTAGCTACATGCTTAACTAGTTATCACGTATTTCATTATAATCGTCAGTTTGGTGGAGCTTTGTGGAGCTTAGTGGAGCTTAGAGGAGTTTAGGGATGCAACCACACTTCTCCATCGTACTCGATTTTTGGCGATTCCTACAAGTTTTTCCCACAACATTCCGTTTGTTCTGCTTCACTGACGACTGATCTTTTCCAAGTTTGTTTTTGGCCAACCTACTTTAGCTCTTTCCGTGTGGTTTCTAATCTAGTGCCTGTGTGGCAATGTTGTTCGTTGGTTTACTCAAGGTGTGTCCAATACATCCTCGTTAACGCTTTTACGTTTCTTTGCCAAGAAAGTCTATTCCAGTTTCTTTTCTCAGTTCGGCATTGGTAACTTTTGTCCGTTCAGATAATTTTAAGTCGTAGGTTAACCTTCAATAATTTGTAAACAGGTTGTGTTAATTGTGTTTAAATGTAAAAAAAAACCCTGTTTATTTGCATATTCTAACGGACTTACCCATAACCAAAAACATATTTTACGGATGCAGAAGGGATCATTGATCATAAATGCTTGAAATATTCTAGTGTAAGAAAACATTTTAGTTAGGAACGTTATTGTTGTATTTTTCTGTTCAAAGTGCTAGCGGATGGCTAATCATTTTTTAACTTTTTTCTTTGTATCCTAAACG